GTCCCCTCCCTGTCCCCGTCCCCTCCCCACCGCGGGGGAATCGCTGTCCCCTCCCTGTCCCCTCCCTGTGTCCATCCCCACCGCGGGGAGATCACTGTCCCCTCCCTGTGTCCATCCCCACCGCGGGGGAATCGCTGTCCCCTCCCTGTGTCCATCCCCACCGCGGGGGGCTCGCTGTCCCCTCCCTGGGTGTGGGGGCTCCATGACTTATCCATTTCAAACCATGGAAAACCACTGGGCGCCAGCCCTAAGGAGCCTTTTCTCCGGAGGGCCGGGAGCACCCCAGACCTGCTGGCCCTGTCCTGGACCCCCATGGCCCCATCAGGGACCCCCATGGCCCCACCAGGGATCCCATAACCCCACCAGGGACCCCATAACCCCACCAGGGACCTCCATAACCCCACCAGGGACCCCCATGGCCCCATCAGGAACCTCCATAACCCCATTAGACACCCCATATCCCCATCAGACACCCCATAACCCCATCAGGGATCCCTGCCACCTCCCCACCGCGGAGGGATCGCTGTCCCCTCCCTGTCACCGTCCCCATCACGGGGGTCTCGCTGTCCCCTGTCCCCTCCCTGTCACCTCCCCCATCACGGGGGTCTCGCTGTCCCCTGTCCCCTCCCTGTCACCGTCCCCATCACGGGGGTCTCGCTGTCCCCTGTCCCCTCCCTGTCCCCGCCCCCGGACGAGCCAGGACGATCCCGGAGGGAGCGATGGTGAGACCCGGCTCATCCCCCCCGAACGGGTCAGAGGGGACGGTGCCACGTGTCCCCAACGTCACCCCGCGGGTCCCCAGAGCCACCCCCGGCCAGCGCGGCTCCCAAACCTGCTCCCGGTGACGGATCTGGGGGAACACGGGAGAATGCAGAGCCCAGCCCCCAGCGGTGCCCTCGGGAGCGTCACGGCCACCCCTGGGGGAGCCCGCGGGGGTTGGGGGGCTCCCGGGACCCCCCGGGGTGTGACGGGGGGCTCGGGGGGTGTGAACGCCCCCAGGGCTGGGGGCCGTGAGGACACGGAGCGATGGGAACACGCCCCGGAGCCCCCCAGGATGGCCCCAGCCCCTCTGGACGAGCCCGGGGTGAGCCAGCCCCCCCCGTGCCCACCTTGACCAGGAAGCCGCCGTCCTTCTCCTGGGTCACCATCACGGCCGAGTCGTGGAGCTGCTCCTGGAAGTGCACGTGGGCCCCCTCGGGGGGGGGGCTGGGGGCGAAGCGCACGGAGCCCCCCTTGCCTTTGCTGCCTGCGGGTCACAGAGCCCCCGGTCACGGCCCCCTCCGTGTCCCCAGGGCTGGGACCCCCCACCGGGGGCCGGGGGAGGACAGGGACCGAGGCCGGAGTGTCCCCGGACACGGAGGGGCTTCCCCGTTCCCCCCCCTCCCTGTGCCAGGGGCTGGGGACACGGGGACACAGGGAGCAGGGACCTGCCACCCCCCAGGGGATGCCCAGAGGGTCCCCAAGGGTCCCCAAGTGTCCCCTGGGCTCGGCAGCATCTGCTCTCTCCTGTGACTTCCTTAGGACAAGCGGTGACACAGGCTGGCACACAGGGACACAGGGACACAGCGAGCTCCTCTCCGAGCAGGG